TTTTGAGTATAAGTATACCAATTGAAATTTTGAAATTTTAGTATAATTTTTTATATAATTAATCGAATTAGCAACGTGGAAAAAGTAAAAATAACGTAGATTTTTTTACTTTCTCTCTCTCTCTCTTTGTTCTTGTGATAAATTTTCTGATAAAAATAGTCATTTGTATATGATTAATGCAAAAAGCTTCCACCTGCTCTAACAACACCTGCACACGCAGACAAAACGGCATAAATTTTACCTTAAAATTTAATATTTAAGACCTTATAAACGTTAAAAACAATTAAAAATAGTTTGGAAAATAAATTTTACACAATACAAAATGAATTAATGTAAGATTTATGTGAATTAATATCAGTTATTTTAATAATTGTTAATAATATTAACATTTCAGGTACAGTATCAAGATAAAAATAGCTGGAAATAAACACGACATTGCATCATATCTGTCGATAATAAATTATATCATATAGGCTACTTCCTTATACAATACAATACTTTATGTTTGTTTAGTTGCGATAATTATATAATACAGACGTTTCTAAAAACGTATTTTAAAAGTATTTTACAATTGGATGAATTTAATAGCGAAAACATTGAGTTAAACAAAAGAATGTCTCTGTTATATAGGGCAGTGTTTGCAACTTGTTCGAAAAATATTTTGAATATTAAGCAGCCAATTTTATTCATTTCAAGTATCATAACAACTCAAGGACGAGAATGTAGCTAGACCTACTGTAGTAGGGGTGGCTCTACTATAGCAAGGGTGAGATGACCTTATAATAGAGATCTGGGTTTAAGGAGAAAAAGGAAAGAGGGACCGGGTCAATATTTAAAATATGATATACGGTTAAAGTTTAATTATTTACATTTTGTAAACAGAATTTAGTTATTTGGAGCAATAGGAATGCTCAAAATTTTCTAGAGGGTCTCCTGATTCCTCTAGCTACGGGCTTGTTCAAGGCCATGTTTCTATCAATAGTAGGATATTTAGATATAATTTTCGATTAAAACGTGTGTAAGACTTGATTTGGATGGAATTTGATGAAAACCAAATGAACGAAACTGAATCTTTAAAAAAATTTTATTAAAAATCCAACCGGAATTGCTCAATCATTCGTTTTTTTTCACGTTTAGTTCAGTCTAAAAGCAATTGCGAAATGTTCGAAAGTAATTGTTTATTAATTTTACACCTTTTCCTGCCAGCATTGCTGACATTGAAACTGAATTCAATACAGTAATTGCAAAAGCAAATCAAACGATACCATAATACATAATTTAAATAAAAAGCTGGCCTAATCGACATAAATAATTACTTTCGAGTATTGTATTGTTTGTAAAGTGATGATTTACAACTTTCCTATTATAAAAGAAGTGTCGACGAGGTTATTTATAAAATTAGAATTTATAAATGTTTCGACAAGCATTGACAAACTTTCATATATTACATCCTTTATCTATAATTAAGCGAAAGATTGCAGAAAGTAAGGACAACAGTTTAAGAAATAATGAAAACTTTTTAAATTTATAGAGTAAATTTAGTAAAATAAGAAACAAATTTCAAAATTATGAGACAAGTTGTAGAAATTAAAAGAAATCATTGCAAAAAATAAAATACATTTCGTGATTAACACAAATTGATTTTTAATTAAAAAAAATAATTATCTCCTTGAACACACGAACTAAAAACACACTGTCAAACCTACACTGGTGGACAGCATACACAGTTATAGCGGAATCGGCTCATATGTCAGTTTTTCGGGCCTCAGCCTGAGGCCCCGTGCTCAGAGAGGCCCCCACTTTCAAATTTTTGAGAAAATTTGACAATAGGATTTTTGATGTTTCAGAGATGTATTGACACGAGAAATATTTTAATTAAATTTACATTGATTCTTTGTCCTTTCATTATTGCAAATTATGTTTAGTAAAATTAGTCTATATACTTTTTCGATAAAAAAAATTTGTTTTATAAATATTTTGAGTCCCGCTAATAACTTTTCCTGAGGCCCCGCAAAACCCCCAGCCGGCCCTGGATATAAATATCCCCGAATTTGTCTAATGGGTTTGAAAAGCAGTCCCATAAAAAGAAGACCCATTGCAAACACATTGCATGTTAACGCAATGGGTTTGCAAACCAGAAAACGACAAAACACCTCGTAGTTTGTTGAAATTGGAGACAATTTGTCAAACGTGTCTCGACATTTACCTCGATCTTCTATTTAATTGCTATTAAGAACGTTAAAAATTACGATGATCGTTTCCTTATACAGTAATTGCCACTCATTATAATTACTTTGGAACTAGCCTGTGCTAATAACAATAATCGTGAAAGTAATTAGATCACGATTAGGGGAAACTCTAGTTTCGTTGATTCAGATAATTTAAAAAGCATGTTAAAACAATTTAAAACGTTTAAAAGTAAATTTAATAACTAACTTAGACTTTATTAATTATTATAATAATTACTCGAGTAATTCATCCAGCATTATTTGCCGGCTATTATTGGCAATACTTCATTAGTGAAATGCTCGTTTTCATAATGATTTTGAAAATCAACGGCATCTGCACTGTACACCACGATAAAATACTTACAGAGATTCTTATATCTGAGCATTTGTTAGACCTAGATTATCTTTATGTTGATTTTCTTTAATTTCACCAAAAAATCCTCCAGAGCATTCTTCAGTAACAACTTTTTGTTGATGTCATCATAGCAGTCATGAAAATTTCCTTGTCAGTTGCCAATCTTTTCTTTTGCCACATCTTTTGGAGTATTGTTTATGATCTTCTCTTCAACAGACACAACTTCAGATGTCTCTATGCCTATTTTTAATAAACCATCCTTTTTGAAAACAATTCTCAATGGTCTTTCAGACACTACCAAAAGATGTAATGCATCAATCATGAAGATTCTTTAATCGATAGAAATCATATCAGTTTGTCTTTGACTATCATCTGTTTCTTGACTGTTCTTTGACTATCTATCATTCTCCAAAATTCTTGCAACCATTTAACTTCTTTAGTATGTGTTTAAGTTAGATGTAATTCTTGATCAGTGACGTTGTATTTTCGAAAAAGAATATTATTTTAATATATTTTAATGACAAATTGTTAACACACGATTGACATGAATATGCTATACAATTATCTACCAGCAAAACAATCTTTAAGGATTTATATTTCAATTAACAAATCAGTTGAAAACGTCAGTTGTCACCCGGGTATTTGCATTTGATCAGCAGTCGTAAAACAACCAAAGGAATATTTCACACCCGTAAAATATGTAAGATTTTTACTTTTTCCAAACGTTAGATCCTTTAGCACTTACATGTTTAAACATAATCAGCCATTGCACAAAAAAACAGTAACGTTTTGCTACATCGTAGATATTCCTCATTGGCCATTCTATCTTTATTCACAATTCAGCCGAATTCAGTCATAACTTTTTTCTTCACCATGAATATGTTTCGTGTTTACTTCACCAGCTGAACCATCTTCCAATAAAATCTTTCTTTTCAGAACTTAGAATTCTAAAATTTCAGGTTTATCTTTAAAAGAGCCTACCAGTAAACTACGTACAGCACTGTATACAGTAGCCTATTGATTGCAAGTTTATAACGAACGTTTAACACGTTATATAAATGAATATTTTAATTTAAATTGATTATGATCGTTGTACGTTTTCGTTGGAACAACATGGATTCTAACAAATATTACCTGCTTGTCAGTTGGCTCTTATCAACCGTCTAAGTAAATTCAAATTTATCATTAGTAACATAATGATAATTATAAACGAATTTCTGATTACAATAAGCGAAACTTTTGTGATATTTATTTAATTTACACGTTTTGGAACATGTTGATTCTGATAATATATGACTAATAATTAAATAAGTGACACACACTGTAATTTGGAAATATTTTTAATTTAGGAAATTTGCATTTTTTAATATGCATGTTTGCTCCAAATTTATGGCAAACAAGCATCAATGAAAATACTTTTCTTGTTTTAATTAGAAATAAAGGGTGTAATTAAAATTAAGAAAAAAGTCTGTGAAAATCAAATGTCTATAATGTAGTCCCAATGACTGAAAATGGATAAATGCGACTGATTTTGAAGGATTTTTGTTTAATTTCCATTAAAATATAAAAGTTTTCCTTCGAAAATTAGCTTGTATAGTTTTATTTTAATAGCTGAAAACAAAAATATGAGATCTTAACTTTAAAGAAAAATGCCTATATCAAAGTTGGATAATAAATCCCCAAAACAATTCTGTCGAGTTTCTAATATTATATAGTTTTGTATTATTTGTTTTATTGCTTTAAGTCACACTCATTTGGACTCGTAAATATCGAAGAGCATGAATGAAAAAGAACATCCGAAAATATAATCTGAAAAATGTATGAAAAATTTAATGCTTCGAAGGAAATTCAACTCCAGAATCACTATCAAACCATATGAATGCCTCACCACACTGCCATAAGTTTTAGATTACAAGGTCTACTCATGAAAAGTTTATCAATTCTCTCAGATAGCTATTTTATTTCCTATCATAAGAAAGAAAACTTATTTTCTATTTTATAAAAGCTGAAAATATTATATTTATATTATATATTTTTAGAAACAAAATATATTTTTTATGATGCTTTTACTGTTTGAATATTTTTTGCACTTTCTTGATAGATCCAGAATGCCAATTGTTTCCACTTCAAAAAGAATTTTTAAATTTAATTTTCAAGATAAAAGTTCGGAAGAAATTTAATTATACCATTAAAAACTATTAAAACGATTCCTATCGATATAATCAATTGATACATTAACTTCTTATCGAAACTAAACGAGTAAACTTAATCGTTTTAAATAGAATTAAATTAGAATTTTTAAAGTGTACAGATGTAAATGTTTTAAGTATATTTATAAGCAAAACCTTTACGAGAAATCATCAGAGTAGATCTTATATAAGAGAATTAATAATGTATAATGTTATCGATTAACTTACTTTGAAGTACTTCTTTATCTTCAGAGCTATTTCTGTAGGAACTTCTTCTATAATCGGATAATTTCTCTCCAATATTAATTTCTGGTTTTCTATCGTGCGTTTCTAATTGAAGATGTATTCGCTAAATAAAAAGAAAAATAATTTAAGTATAACTTTAAATAAATTCATATAGCTTACAGATTCATGTAGCCTACAGATTATACGAAAATAATTTTACCTTTGCCTTCCTCTTCTGACGAAATGAAGCAAAAGAATTTAATAATCTTTCAGCCAGAAAGAAAAAATAAACACCACCCAATGCCACTAACCCTCTAAACACCATTGCTTCTTCTTCGTTGCTGGCTTCCTCACCATGGCTATGTTCGTCCGCAACGGTCATAGCCTGTTCAACAATCAAAAATATTCTATTACACTGTTTTCTGTAAAAATTGCTTTATATTTTTCATAAATTAATAATAAAGTTTGATTAATTGTTTCAGAATACGATACAAATCTTACGTGAGGAAGAAGATGCAAGAGAGCATCTCCCGATAGACTTCCAATAGCCAAACCAACTAAAAACTGTAATAGTGTTTGGTAGAAGACCTTTTGCATGATTGGTATAACTGCCACACTCAATAAACCACACAAACTGATTACAATAACGGCCAAAGAAGAATAGAGCCATACTGTAAAAGAAAAGCTGAAATTGACACCCTTAAAAAATTTTAAATTATCTTAATTTTAAAAAAAATTTACCATCCGTCGTGGATGCTGCTAGATGCATATTGTTTGTGCTATAGTAAGATGATATTTCTATACAATGCCTCTGATCTAATTCGTAGATAATTGCTGGACAGAGATGGAGAAAACCCATCGGCGATATCTTATTGTGGATGTTAAAAGTTTTCAATATTTCAGAGGCACTCAAGCAGCCCTATTAATAAACCATTTTAAAATTACATGGTTTTTGTACATAAGAAACGATACAAAATTTTCGTAAATTATAAACTTACTTGCTCCCGAACTACAACCACATTATTATCCTGATTAGCAAATTCATGGTGCTGTTGAAATAATGATGTTATATTTATAAATTCTGGCATATAGTGCCAAATTCCAGCTCCAGAATTGTTCAGTTTATTTTGATCCGTTTCTATAAAATGGAATTATTTTTTTTAGAAAATTTGAGGTACTTTCTAAAATTATCTATAATAAGTATAAAAAGAAAGAAAAATACCTGTTGATTCGTGATCTTCATGATGATGATGATTATGGTCATTATGAGACATATGATCATCTTGATTCATTAATTCTGGAAAAGCAGTACTTCCTTCTTCATGTTCTGATTTTAGTGACGGCGTATGTTCGTGATGAGGATGATTATTCTTAAATCCGTTATCCTCTTCTCGGTGGGACGATAAATCATGATCTTTAATGATAATTCCACCGAGATTTAGATTCTCTAGAAGATGTTCAAATCCTTCAAAGGTCATGACTCCATTGTAACCATATTTACTAAATAACTCTGTCAGGAAAAATCTGTGATCCGGAATATCTCCGGTTTGATTGTGCTGAAGATCATGATCAGAATGAGACATTTTATTACTTCTTGTTGGCGGAATGCCCGAATGGTGGCGATGATTACCGTGGCAATGAGCATTTTCTAAGCGAAATACCAAAAAGAGCATGCAGCAAACGTGTACTGGTACTGAACGCATGTTGCAGGTCAAAAACTCGAAATCTTCTTAAAATTCAAAACTGAAAAAGAATTATTTTTAATTTAAAAAAAAAAACAACATTAAATTATCACAGAAAAAGAATGAATAATTGACTACTCTACTTTACTCCAACTTTAACTTATCTAATCATCCTGATAAAAATATTCTTATCTACGAAATGAATTGATCAAGAAGTCCATTTTAAAATAACAAATCTAATTGAATTAACATTTTTACACACCTTTAATATTAATTCTTAACACAATTTGAGTAAGTTATATTATAAAATATTCATTGCAATCGCGACTTTTCGTTTCTTATCACCCAAATTTCCATAAGAGTTTAATCCTTTCTTTTATCACTAATGTACAAATGAACTTATGAATAACCAGTTAATTAGCCTATTAGTGTAATCTATGGATATTTAAATCCAGGAATCAAATATATACAATCCAATCTATGTTATTGATCGCTAATGTGATATTGTATCACGTGCTAAAAGAATTTCAATTCTTGTTATGGTCAATGCTCTATACTTTACAAATATTAAATAATGCGGTCTTATTTTTACAGAAATACAATTTCTGTAGAAAAAATAATGAACTTTAAACCACTGTTTAAGCATTTTATTTCAATTAAGCTTATGAGATAAACGAGATTTTTATTAATGCAAGGTGATATCTTCGTACAAACATTGAAAATGATAAAAATATCGACTTACCTAATAATAATTTATAAAGAAAAATTGGAATTGATAGAGCAAAGTTTGGAAAAACTTTGGAAATTTGTCAAAGTGTCTATCATTGAAAATACTCCGTCAGATTTAGTCTATCGTTTTATCAAAACTACACAAGAGAAGTAACGTGTGCAGTGATATCTTCCATAAAGTTTTGGGGTCAGGTCGGCCAAATTTCTCACAAGGTTATTTAACTGATAATAATTCCATAAACATTTAAAAATCCAAATTAAATCGGACAGATGATTCATTCTTTTAGCTCTAGCATTAAATTAATTAATTAATTCCATAAAGTACAGAGCACATCATTTAATTTTTTTCAGCATTCTATTCAGTCAATGTAAACTGGATACTTATTATTATTTAATAGAAGAATTAGATACTTAAAAATTCACAAATTCAAAGATAAAATGATTAATAATTGGGCGGAGTACTTTAGTGGCTCTGATTTGATGGAAAACTTTTGTTATAGATAAAAATATTGCGAAATAATACGATAAAATTATCTATTTATAATGAATTCAATAAACAGAATTTATCTATACGATTATTTTAAATAATATGCAAGGTTGAAGTATACGAGATTTTCCTATTTCAAGATTCTTTTATTATTTTTTTATTGTACTTTGTAATGACACGAACATGTGCTCTTTGTCTTTCTCTTTTCTTTTGATAAAGATTAGTGAATTCAAATTGTAATTGGAAGAATATATTGGAGATAAGAATATACAGCAAAGTTTACAAGAAATAAATTAGATTTATGACTGAGATAATTAATTATTCATTAGTTTTGGTCAAAAGCCAGAAATGGTAATGTTCATACAGTACTGTACTTTGATTGTTAGATCAATAACTTATGTTTCTACATAAAATTCGACTTTACAAGTCTGTAAAAGAATAAAAAGAATGATAATTTCATTCGAATAACACGCTATTATTGGACATTCACATTTATAAAGTGAATATTTAGATTTATTTATCCTATAATTTACGTTTATAAATCTAACTCAGATAGGAAATTTCATATTTATTTTAATTGTAATAAAACGTTATTTTCTTTAATTTTTAACAGTTTTAACGAGTTGTTGAACTCTTGTAGCATGTTCCATTAATTATTGCTGTCGTGTTAGTAAATTCCCGGTTAAAAATCGAACCATTTTTAATCAAATAGAATTTTTCTTTTATCTTATCTATTTTTACCTTAAAAATTAGATTTCTTTTTGTTAATTTAAAGTTTCCTTCGTTAATTATCATCCCTTTAATCAGATTTTGGCAACCGATGAAAGAGTAGATCTCATATTTACCTTTCAGACTTTTCTAATCGATTAAATGAAAGTTAGTTTGAGTAAGATTTGTATATTTTTCTTTCATTTCTTGGACGGTATAACAGTATTAAATGCTAATTCAAGTCATGTTTATATTTATTTTTATTTTCTACACGATAAACAAAAGTTAATAACTAACTTTGTCATTACAACTGATGATACGAGAAGTCTTGACGTCCATATTTTATCAATTAATGGATATATCAAAGTTGCACAAACTTCTAACTTGCACAATTTAAGTAAATATACTGTTTACAATTGCAATATTTAGCAAAAATACTTAACTATTTAAGCCATTCGATGCGAAAAAATTACATATTTTAAGCAGAAAATAAGCATATTATTGTTAATTAATAGATTTACATTAATTAAAATTGGAAATTAGTATTAAAACTTCGTTAAAAATAATAGAAATATTATAATTTTTATGAGAAGGAAACATAAGACACGTTCATTTGTTATCGCAGTATCTTTCATAAAATCTGTGAAAAGAGCTTAATGACGTGTTTATGTCACACGTATTTTCTTATCCTACAAATTTACACAACATTTAAATAAGTTAAATTAATAAAATATACCTGTAACTTCACACCATTTACGTGAGAAGAAATAAAAATAAATCGTAGTTAAGCTTACTTGAGAACGTAAAAGGTAAAACGACGTTTGCCTGTGATTAAAAATGTTTGTTTTTTTAATTAAAAATAATGTTCTTACCTTCGTTAATTTAAACGAAATTCGAGCTTATCTTAATTTTTCTCGAAATAAATAAACGAATTCGCAACAACTCGTCCAAGTACTTAACAATGTTGTTCTCTACTGATAATCATTAAATGAGATTTAGGAGAAAGGATGTTGTTGTGATGTCACATCCCTCATAATCCGCAGCTTCCTTTTGTCGAAAAAAGTATAAGCGAAACCAGTTAGCTTAATTATTAATTAGAGGATATTTTTATAAGTGGAACAGTTTATTTGACACACATAAAATTTTCCTTCGAATAAATTAAGGCCAATATATTTAATATCCCTATAAAGGATGAAGATTTTGAAAGATTTATCAAAAATACCTTAATTTCGATTCTTTCGATATTAAAATCATTGTATAATTTCCATTATTTTTTTTGTTTAATTAAACAAGAATTTTAATTAACAAACAGACAGAAACTTTACTGAAATATGAGATTTATCTTTTTTAATGTCTAGAAATCTTAATTAAAATTAAAATATTTTTTTGTTTGAGACATTAAATTATATTTTTTTTAACGAAGAAAACTCGAGACATACAAATGTTAAGTAGCAAAAAATTCGATTTAAATTAATTCTTAGATTATAAGCTATAATGTTGAATATAAGCATAAATAATTGCATGTAATTTAATGCAATTATTTGTAATTTTTACGCATCTTTTTCAATTACTAATATTGAATTTTTTCGCTTTAATTTATGCAGAAATTTTGGTAAATATCATTAATTAAACTATAGAAAAATTTAATAAATGCAATATTAAAATTCATAAAATAAAAACTGTCAATAGAACAAACTCTGAATCATTGAATAATATGAAGGGTGTGGTTGTGGACTCGACATAAACAAAACGACATAACAGTCACAAAAAATAAATATATACATAAATAAATTATCAAACTGGAAAATTCAAGTTTCGAACAGCTTATGAATTATAATAATTAATCGCATAGGAATTTAATTTGCATTATTCATGCGAACAGAGATTCAGATTTCCAGATAAAGAACTTCTGACAAGAAAAAGAACTTAAAAAAAAATAAAAAAAAGGCATGTTGAATCAGATTTTAAGTAACAAACTGTTAAAAATTAAATCTTAGAATGAAAATATCAAGGACAGTTCTATGCCAAGGATATTATTAATTCCTAGATAAATATTTCAAGGATAGCAACTGTTAACGTTGCTTTCACTTAGCAAAGATTCAGTTTAATGGCCTTCTTAACAAATAAACATTCTTAGAAATGAGAAAAATATGTAGTAGGCCAATAAAACAAGATCCAACCCTTATATTTTCGTGTCTTTTTATAGATATGCCTTTATCTCTATCGTGTATTTTTTCGTTTGTCTATATACAAAGTATAAACAAAGTACAAAAAAAAGGGTCGTTAAACTTACAGATTAGATTAAAGTTATTAAAATTAATATAATGTCGTTTCTTGCAGCTTCACAAACGATTATATTAATTAATATGCATTATTTGGATTAACTACGTTATTCTTTTGTTAAATATATTGAGTGCAAAGTATGCAATTGTTGCAAAGACACGGCTTAAAAATTATTAATGGATTTACATGTTATTAATTTAACTTTCTATCGAAAAGACTCGTAAAAATTATATAATTTATACTAGAAAATTAAGCACGAAGAACGTACTTAGATACACGAAGAAGAATTAATACAATTATATTTTAAAAAAAAGTAAGTATGAAGTAAATATGCTCTACTTACAAACGCGTGGCTTGAATTTAGTCATTGTTTTGTAACCAGATTGTCAAAAAGAAGAGTTATATAGGAGTCATTTTTGGCAAGAATACAAATAGAAGGGTTGGGTGGAAACCTTGGCTTTTACATACGTAAGAATTGCCCCCAAGTTATAGTTTATGATGTAATATCATGTGATATACGAAGTAGTTGAAGCCTTGACAATGCCAACTCCTCCCATCTCAAAGTATAAAATATTCCGTGAGAAAAACAGTAAACAAAAGTCTTTAATTGCTACATATGATAATGAAGATGATCTTAAATACACCGAAAATCTTTTATTTATACCTAATTAATATTTATATTTTAATTATAAGCATTATTTAGAAAATATATACACACCATAGACCTAAAAGATATAAAATTATAAGCTTAGATTATGATGCTCGGGTGATAAATTCGGTATATTCTTGTGATGTGTAATGATAAACTATGTGTAAAGTATATATTACATATAGTATACGGAATATATATAATATAAATGACAAATTGGCGTATTAATAATTTCTGTAAGCCTATATATTATACAAAGAATCGATGAGTTTAGTACAATACAAGTAATAAATTTCTATATAACGTACTTTATCTTACAGTGAACACATTTCACTTCGAAATAATAATGAAATTATGAAGGAAAATATAAATTAATCCGCCATTACTTGATGTAGCAATTAATATTACTACAGAATCAATAGAAACTTATAGAAAATCATGTTTTTGAAGTGAAATGCATACATAATACATTACATAGGTGCTATATATATTCATTACGGTTAATTAATTCTTGCCTACGTTATATACATGTTACATACACGCAAATTAGCGTAGATTCGATTCAATCTTGTGGCCTATAAACTGCAACATATAAGAAGCCTTTCATCTTTCATAAACGCATATAAGGCCTTGAACTTTAGCCTATCGTAGCCTATTTACACTAAACAATTTAGACTGGACTCTAAATTATTTAGTGTAAATCCTATCTCGTATTACATGCGAATACACACATATATATGTAATTTGTGTAGTGTACTGTACATAATGTTTTAAGTGTACTGTGTATCTCACTTTAAAAATACTCCAAATTAATCTGATACAGCCTTTATTGATATAATGATGTATATACATTAAATACAGCCCTCCTGCATAGCTCTTATATGACATATTCACATTTAAAATACATATAAAACATTTCGGAATATACTTATTTAATTGTATGATTAATTTTTAAATTTTTTTTTTTACTTCTTTCCAGAATTTAGAAGAAAAATACGACTAAAACTAATTAGATTCTAAAATAAAATCGATTTAAATAATCTAAATTGAATAATTTAAAAATAAATAATGAGTTTCTGGAATCAAATTTTTTGAATTAATCATGCAACTAAAATTAGGTTTAACATAATTAATGAAGATAAAGAAATTTCGATAGAGTTTTAAAAAATAAAAATAAAATATTATGTATACAAAATTGAATTTAGAAATCATTTTATATAAAAATATAATAATGGATTAAAGTTAAAGAATCTTTAA